ATGGGGCTAGCACAGGAGCCGGAGTCCCGTAGCTCTATGTGCTTTGGAAAATGCTACCTGGCATAGACAAAGGGCCGAGAACACATGGCTGAAAGGCGTGTCCCTCCTCTGTGCCCTGTGGACAATGCCGAGGGGCGGGCTCAGATGTTAAAACTCGCACTTGGAAACAGCAAGAGTGAGTCTGACATGCATCCACAGCAGGCTGTGACCTCACAATGAACCTGGAGTTAGGGGTCCCCTTTGCCTTTTGGTTGGGCAGCCCTGGTTCCCCCCAGCTGTGCTGAGTGGGGGGGTGCTGCCTGGAGCAGGTAGGTAGGGAGCGTGACAGACCTGGGGCAGCTGGCTACAATAGTTTGGTGGAGGGCAAAGATATAGGGACCTGGGTAGTTTTCCATTCCCTGAGTGAACCGGCCATGTGATCAAGGCAGGCCGGTCCTGGGGCCAAGTCAGCGCTTGCCTGGAGCAGCAGGCTAACCAGGGCACCTGCAGCCCAGGAACCTGCTGAGGCTAGGTTCAAAGGTTCCCCTCCGGAAAGGCGGAGAGGAGAAAAGCCAAGGGCTGAGAGCTAGAGGGGCACTGCTGGGGAGCTGAGGGGGATGTGCTGTATAGGACCAGGAGAGACGCTCAGGCACCATGGAGAAGGTACTCAGGAGAGGGGGGAGTAATTTCAGAAGTACCCCAGGGAAGGGGTGGTAGGATTGGGGCTAGAGGAAACAACCCCCCACACTCAGTTTGCCACGACCTCAGGGCCCCAGGGCCGGAGCGCAGATTAGTTGGCGGGCCTGAGTTCCCCCCAACCCTCCCCACACCACTGCAGAGTCTGCCCCTGGCAAGGGGGGCAGGACTGAAGCAAGGCTGCACCCCGATCCTGGGCCTTGCCTCTGTTGAGGATGGCTCAGTAGGCTGTGACCTTTGCCACGTGGAGGGTGCCAGCGAGCCTGTGAGGCAAAACACTAGCCACCCGGAAGTGCAGGATCCTTGGGGCCTGGCCAGAGCTTTGCCACGAGTCAGAGGCTTTCGCCCTCTCCAGAGAAGAAGGTTCTGTACCATCAAAACCTGAAACAGCCGTGTCCCACGCTGAACGAGCTCCAGCCTGTGCCTGGGAGGTGCATCGGAGGCTGCAGGCTGAGCAGACGGTAGCGGATTTATTGCAGAAGTAATATGAACCTCGGGAGGACTCATGCAGAGGCCTGAAAATGGCAGTGCCCCCACCCCTGGCCAGGCATTCCCTGATGTACCACCCCCCTGGCCTGCACACCTGCAGGGGTGGGGCTGAGGGGCCTCTTTCAAGTCCAGTACCCGCCAGCTGTGGCTGTCAGGTGTGGTCCCGGAGGGGAGAAGAAAAGGTTCTTCTGCGGCCAGTGGGATTAGCAGGCCGGATGCAAAAGGAAATCTCCCCCCAGGCACCTGTGGCGGCTGGGCTGGGAAGCACCAGCCAGGCTCGCTCTGAGGTGATGGGGGCAAGAGAGGACGTGGTCTGAGCCGGCCACACGGCGACTCTCCGCCTTCTCCTCCAGCTGGGCGGCTGCCCCCTGCCCAGCCTCTCGTCCCCTCGTTGCTCGCCGATTCCTGGCTGAACAGTCGGAGCTCGGCCAGAGCCTGGGGAGGAGCGTTTCACGCAGCCACTCTCCTGCAAGCACTGTCCTGGGGACGTGACC